GACGGTTAACTCACTCATTCTTAACCCACATCCTTCAACTTTCAATGTTTCCAAACAACTGTCCATAAATAGGTTGAACAGTCACGGGGAAGCTACACAGCCCTGTCTGACACCTTTATGAATGCGAAACCAGTCCGAGTTAGCCCCGTTGATCCTGATACAAACACTAGAGTCCCTATAAGGATATTTTAATGCCTATGTCGACCCAGCGCTCAACCTAAATGAGTCCAGTGTTTGCCATGAAACATCTCTGTCCACTCTGTCATAAAGCCTTTCCCATGTCCATGAATGCACAAAATACTTTTTGGTTTTTGGGGAAAAACTTCTCCGCGATCATTCGCATGGAAAATACTTGATCCGTACACCCCATTACCTTTCTAAATTCAGCTTGCATATCCCAAATTTTTCCGTCAGTTTTTTTCATAACTCCTTCAATCAACGCCTTAGCACAAACTGTAATTTTCTCACAATACTAAGCAGGTAGATGCCACGGTAGTTTTTACAGTGCTGCTGTGACCCTTTGCCTTTATATACAGTGGATTTCATTTACTACGACCTTGGTTGTAGCGACTATTTACCTATAGCGACGTTAAATCTAAGTCCCTTGAATTTAAAGCACATTTTAGTACAAAATTCATGTGGCTATAGCGACTTTGGATGTAACGCCGAGTTCGGGTGTAGCGACTGTTTTTAATGAATCATTTGTAACAAATTCCTAGAAATCCCATGCAGATATTGCGACCGGAGTCAGCCGTCTAAGACTCAAAGATTTCTTTCTTTCACAAAGATTTGTAATCTTTTGTTTACATCCACACAAATGGTCAGCAAGTGTGGAGACCTTTACTTTTTGTTTATAGATATCAGCTAAGTAAGTAGGGAAACGTTTACGTTTCGGAGTTAAATTTATGGTTCAGTTACAAAGTGATATTCTGAGTAGCAACTGTAATATATTGAATTAGTTACCTTTGCCTGTAACGACTTCCGGATATAACGACGATGATTTAAAATTAAAATTTTTTTTACAGCCGACTTCCTAATAAGTTATTAAGAATAACTCAAAAACCATTGGTCTGACCTTGATCAAATTCATATGGGACCACACGAGAAGTACCAGCTTTCAAATAAAAAAAGAATCATCGAAATCGGTTCACCCAGTAAAAGTTATGAGTTATGAAACGTCTCCTCATTCATAAACTAACTACGCTTTAAAAGTATTCCTTCCGTCTCTTTAAGCTCTAAACTTCATTCAAAATACAGCCATTCTCGTCTCGTATATCATTCAATCGAGGCTGTTTTAAATTTCCCCTGACAGTTCTTACGAGTTTCCAGAACATTTTAATATTGCCTGGAAGTTTACAGATATTTTTTTTATCATTCTTATCCGTTCATTCTTGCTTTTTCCTTTCAACAACTTCTTTTGAGACTGCCTTTTTTTTCAACCTCCTCATCCATATCGCCAGAAATTACTAACTTTGGTTGCTAAATCTAACCATGCTATCTTTTTTGCTTTAATATCCATCATTGCTTTATCATCCCACCATAAAGTATTATTTTTTGCTGCATCCACCAAACCTTTCTTAACATTATCCCACACAGTCTCCGAGTCTAATACGCAATTCATCCAGACTTCTAATATTTTCCCTCAGTCTACATTTATACTTCTCCTTCACACCTTCATCTTGTAACCTTTCTATTCCAATACACTGTAACACAGTGGTGACACAAATTTCCGATGCCGCCAACGTCTGAACAGACCATTAAGTCGGCTTAAGACCAAGTAAATCCGTCCCTAAGTTGGACCCCCTGTAAACCCTCTACCACTGCGCTCCTCATTCTTTCATTCACAATTATGAAATCTAATAATGTAATCTAATAATCATGCTTCTACCTTCCCTTTTCCATATATACATGTGAATCTTCTTATAACAAAAGCAAGTTTTTTCCACACATACAGTAAGAAGGTTTCACGATTCTCATAGTTTATACTCTTTAGTCACCAGACATTCCCAATACCCTTTCATAACTAGACCTCTTCACACCAACTTTTGCATTAAAATCTCCTATCATAACAATATTTTCATTTCCCTTACATTTCATTAACACCATCCTTACCATCTCCCAAAACTGCTCTAGGATATAAGTGTGTGACATGTATGGGACGTAAACCCCTAGAACAAACAACTCCTTTAAGCCCATTTTCATTTATATCCATAGCAGCCTTGGGCTTACATATTCATACTATTTCACACATAAATTTCTTTCTGAAAGGATTATAGTGAATCGCTTGGTCTCATCTACACCAGACAAGTAAGCAGTGTACATGCCATGTGTAGTGGCATCCTTTCCCTTTCGTTTCGTCTCATTTACACATAACAAATATATTCCTTTATCATACATAATTTCGCATACTTCATCCATCTTATCATTCATTGCTCCACATATATTCAGCGTAGCCAAGGGATACAGAATGTGACGGGTGATGAACTTCACTGTCAGTTTTACTGCTGAAGATTCTTCGCACCCCTGACTCATTAAATGCTTCTGTTTCATTTAATTACAGTAAAACTCGCTTAATACGATCACGTTTAATGCGATTTCTCGCAAAATACGCCATTTTATAACAGTCCCTGCAACTTGAGGCATCTCAGTCATCTCGTCTAATACACCATCTGTGCAACACCCGAGCCAAGTCGAGAGTTACTGAGCGTGCTCACTTACCACCTTGCTGAGCCCTCCCCCGCGTGTATGCGCGCACCCCGTTCACTTTAGTTAGCTATGTTCACCCTAAAGATGTTGAGCTAAAGAACATCAAGCTTGTTTTATTACCTCAGATCAGGGCATTACAGAATAAGATTGCTACATCGCTATCTTAATGAAATGGAAGACCCTGACAGCAAATGACCCTTTACTATGCATGATGTGATCCTAAACATTGTAGTGGCATGGCAAGCAATTAAGCCTGAAACCATACAAAATTGTTTCAAGAAAGCCGGTTTCCGAAATAACGTAGCTGACATTGTGTTGGGAAGAAGAACTTGTGATATTACAGGGTTTTCCTGGATATTCTTCCATTGATGAGAATGTTGCACCCTAAATTTATAAATGATATGTTTTATTTTTCCTATCCCGCATAATACATTGTCCCGTTTAAGTCGCGATTTAGCAGGGTCCCATCAAAATCGTCTTAAGCGAGTTTTACTGTACAACTATCCTTATTGAATAGACATTTAAATATGTATGATAAAGCACAGCCCTGGATGAGACAGATTACATTATAGAATCTAAGGGATCTATAATGTAATCTGTCTAAGAGGATCACCTGTTCTCTCACTCACCAGTGAGAGTAGACCCTTTTTACTAGTGGTTATAATTTTCAATTAAATAAAGATAGATATAACAACAGAACCGGCAACATGTAGTATCATTATACGTGCAAGATATTTAGTATGATGATTATTAGTCCGCCAGCCGAGTGACGAGAACCGGATACCCTTTTTTTATTGTACAAGCAGCTATGCATGTCTAGAGAGACCAGTATCACTGTGACCTGTAAGATCTATTGTGATCGCTGCTTTACCCATAGTTCAATTCACTGAAGATATAGTTACTGAGCTATATCTTCAATGAATGGATTGTTTTAAGTAATGAGTAAATGCCAAATTATACTATTATATTGATTAATAATATTGATTAGTTTATTTTAGATATTGCCAATTTGTAAAAACAATAAGGCAAAGAGTCACAGAAATGACTACCTGTGACAAGATTTTGCAGGTGCAAGGTGCAGCAAGTTATAGTAACAAAAAATGTTTGAGATATTATTTTGATTTATGGCCTCTAAATAAAAACTTTCTACATGATACATTACGTTCAGACTAGAAAGGATAAAGAAAAAAATGTTGTTCAAGAGCAATCTCTACACATCAACCTGTGAATGTAACCATAGACTAAATGGCAACAGTATACAGGTCAGTTATTTTACTTTATAAAACACATATATATCTCACACTTCAAAAAAAAAATACCAATCACATTTCATGTTGTGATTATTAAAAATGGGTGGAAGTGTCACAGAAATTAAATGTTTTAAAAAGATAATATTCACAGAATAATCATTGTATAAAATAGGTAAATGCAAAAATGAGATAATTATATCTCATACCTAAGTGCTTTCATTGTAGATTCTTTGTAATAAAAACATTTTTTAAAGAAAAATGAAGGAGATGAAACCTTCTTAAGTAACTTACTTGGTGTTATGATGATTGATGTATTTGGCATGGTTCATTTATTGACATGGATTATATTAGTATATTGGCATGATTTACTGTATCGTTGATCTGTCGTAAATGTGGCTGTTGATCATGAGGTCCAGGTTCGAATCCTGGGTTGGTCCAAAAATCAGTTCAGGCAGTTGGCCGTGTTTCATGCCGCGCCTTGGAAAGCACATAAAGCATTTAGTTGTGCGCCTGATATCCCTCCATACATGTCGGAATTCTGTCCCATTGGACTATTTGAGTGACAGAATAGTTAGTGCAGCTTAGTTTGTGAACACACTCCTGCACTATAATCCTGTCCTGTGCAGGAGGATATTATCTGATGAGATTCTGCACTGTGACCAAAATTTGGTCTGGCCAACATGTTGATATCTACTAAGTTGTACCAATAGATAATATGTAGGTGTTTTGCAGATTTAAGGGCAGATGTCGTATTTTCTCACATTAATAATTAATAATTTATTGAGAACATAACCATAATATGCAGTTTAATTAAACTTCTTAAAAGAGCATGCATAAACCATTTAAGATATTGAAAGGATAAATGACCTACTCATTCTAGATATTTTAAATACCATATATATCTTTGATATTATATTCCAATGCTAAAATGTCATTCACATTAACACTAATATTTTAAGCAGCAAATTATTCTAAAATTTGCTATTGTAAACAGTGATTAAATGTTATCTATATATGTTAGTTGATAGAATGTGTCATACTCACTCTGCTTCCTTATATCTTTTAGAGAAGGCTATGATTCGTATACCGAAAGGCATACGGCAAGTTCCTAGGACGTTGACAACACGGAAGTTCTGGAAGCGTACTTGAAAGCCGAGTTTTTGTAGTGCTCGCGCGTATCGCCGCGCTGCAATCTTTGCTTGGTCCTCACTGGTAGCGCCAGTGCATGTGATGCGCCCCGACGACCATATAGACGCAGTGGTGTAGGGGCGCCTCAACTTCATCGTAACCATTCCATTTTCACGGCGGAATTCTACGTTAACACCATTCAATGCTATCTGTCTCAAATTCAGGTGACACTTAACACTAAAACTGCACACAACATTGTTTATCATTATGTCTATTTCAGGAGTTTCCTCCTCATCTTCTGCGATGGTCTCCGCCGGCGCCTCCTGGCCTGAATTGGCACAAGGAGGTTGCGGTTCCTGGGGCTGGCCTGTCTCACAATATTCATGATCAGGCACCATGTGACTTGCTACACTATGAGCTGATATGCCATGATTTGTCACAACTCCATGAGTGCCTTTGCTCAACTCCTTAATACCATTCTCTTGAATAAGTGTAGCCATGTCCACCACAGCTTGCTGAAATGTTAAACATAAATATAGCACAATAAAAATTATATGAATAAATAATTGTCTTATTTTAATAAATATTTAATACATATAAAAGCAATATCTTTTCGACCAAGTATTTTTAGTATAAACTTATAGTATTGGTACTATTTATAATACTTGCACCTATGACCTGAGCTTTTAGGATCAATTATTATTTTTGAAATAGTTATTCCACCATTGCACTAGGTCACTTGGTGAAAAAAAATAATTCTCACCTATAATAATAAAATTTTCCAAAGCTACATACAATATAAATTATTAAAACTGCAATTTACACATTTACATATTTAAAAAAATTACTAGTTATAAATACAAAATTTTATGAAAATAAAATATGAATCTGTATCAAAAAAAAAGTTATAAAGAATACATAACATTGATTATGTAAAGCTCTTAACTTATAAATAAGAATAATAGTGTTGAATTCTTCCTTATAAAATTTTGAGTAAGGGCAAATAAATATTTCCCAAATATTAAAATACTTACAAAAGGAAATGAATCACATAAGCTTAATCAAACATTGATTAAATGCTACGAGTGTAGTGGTTATCGGCACCGTCCAGCAACAAACCATAAAGAGAACTTTATTGAAATTGTTGATTGCACAACAATGGCAAATACCAAACACACGACAATAAAAATGTTTTACATGACTTCATAGGTTCTTATATAACATTTGACATGGGTTAATTTGTTCACATCTTACATGGGTTAAATAATTATTAATCACAGGCTGTAAGTTTTATATTTATATAATATAATATTATTACAAAAAGAATTAAATTAAATTATTGAAATAATTTATCCTCAAATTAGTTTCCTTTATTAAGTAATATCATATATTATCAAATAATATAGATATCATGTTTAAATATTGTACTATATAAATAAAGAACTATAAAAAAGAAAACATTTTTCAAACCTTTAAAACAAAACAAAATTCTAAATTACTTCCAGAAAAACTGTTGCTTTACAGCATTAAAACTATCAGTATGAAATAATCTCACTATTTCTTTATTTTGACAATACATACTAATCCTGTAAGTTAATGATCATTGTATAACATAAATAAGCTGAAATTGATTAAATATATATATTAGAACAAAAGAATGTGTTATATTGTCAAAAAAGGAATTATGCAAATTATTTTAGCAATAACTTTTAAAATCTGCAAAGATTTTAAATCTGGGTCATTACTCTCCATAGAGCCAAATTTCGCGAAGATTCAATGGAGGGGCAATAATTTAGGCCACTTCCCACGACGCACCGCGGTGCGACAACATGACATTCGCACAGCTGACTGTCGGACATGCCCTCGCCCACCGTCTGTCATCACTGTCGCGAACACAGGATTTGGCTGTACCAACTCTAGGACAGACCATATTTAATTTGAACAGCCTCCACAGCCCATATGTCACCAAATAATCATTATATTCGTCTTGTACTGGAGTATATAACTGAACGATTGATCCATTGCAAACTACAACTTGCACTTTTTCTAGCGATTGCTAAATCAAAACTAGTTACAATCAAAGGAAGCTCCCATAAAGTTAATACTCAATTTTAACCTCTTTATATGATTAAAGCTGAAATAGGTAGTCAGCAGTTATTGACCCCACAAATAACGCTCAATCCACACGTGATTGAAAGGCACAAAGGAATCGTTTTAGAAAATAAAAAATTTGGCTATATGTTATTGGGCAAAATTGTATTAAATGTATTTTTTTTTTAATATTACCATTATAAATTCCATAAAATTCAAAACTGTTAGAAAATAACACTATATTGTGGAGTAAAATGGAACAAAACTTCACATCACCTGAATGGCAATCTGCGGACGCTGTTATAAATAAGGGAAGAAAGTGTTTGAGGTATTCAACTATTTATTGAAACAACAAATTTACCTGAAATAATGTGCTATATTTGTCACAATTATTTTTACACCACCAATGAAGTAATGGTTTTCATTGCAAATTGGTCCAAAAGATTAGAAGAATTTATACAAGATTTCAAAACACACGACAAAACAAATTAAATTAAACACGTTAAATCTTTCTAGTAAATATAGAAATACAACCAATATTGCTTGCTATTCGATAAAGCAAAAATTAAAAGCCTGTGCACATCCTGTCTAGCACCGCCATATTCTGTCCGAACGACGAACGAGGAGCAAGTGAGTGAGTGAGTGAGCAGAAAGATGAGATTGGAAAATGGAAATGGTGTGTAAAAATTAAAACAAATCATTCGATCAAAGATTAGTTACAGCTTACAGTGAATGATTAATCTTTAATCTTTGCATTCAGGCCAAAGATTCGGGCATAGATTAGTTAATAATTTTCAATTGTGCGCTTTGAAAAATGCTGATCTGTGCGGTTAACGTGTACATAAAGCAGTGAAATACTTAAAATTTACAAAAAGATGAAGTTAAGTAAGTATTTTTATTGCCATACTTGCTTTTTAGGGTTCCGTACCCAAAGGATAACCAACGGTACCCTATTACTAGGCCTCCGCTGTTCATCCGTCTGTCTGTCAGCGGGAGTATCTCATGATTCGTAATAGGTAGACAGTTGAAATGTTCATAGAATGTGTATTTCTGTTGCCGCTATAACAACAAATATTAGAAATAAAAATTAGAGAATTAGTGCTCCTTTAATAAAAACGTGTTTTACGTAGAATACAATAACGTTTTTATTCAATATAGATCACATGTGTAATTCTTATATACGTTGGTACGTAACCCTTCATGCGCGAATTCGACTCTCACTTAGCCGGTTATTTTCTATAAAAATCGTTTAAAATAATCGAAAACTTTACAGATTATGTAAAAGTACGTAATCTATAATGTGTTGCTAATCGCAAATCTCGAGAGCAGCTGAACCAATTTCGCTAACTCTTTTTTTATAATATTTCTTGAAGTACAAAGATGGTTTTTACGGAGAGCAAAATTTAAAATATTGCTTGAAAAAGTCTAATAACAACACAAAATTATTATATATTCCCATACAAAAGATTCGTAATATTACTTAAAAGTCAATTTGAACTTTAATACCATACCATAAAGTTTAAGTGTTAGTGGAGGGGTTCCGGGAAGGCAAAACAATTGAGTGACGTTAGTATCGTATAAATATTAATGTCAATATTTGTCAATATTTATAAGATGGTATCATTACTCAAAAACATAATTAGGGTGCCGCGCAAAAAATTGATATCCATGAAATCGTAGTAAATTCCACGCGGGCGAAGTCGCGGGGTATAGCTAGTATTTCATAAAAATCGTAGTGATCATCGCAATGTGACCACCACATTCCCTACGAGACTATTTGTTTCTTTTTAACAATTTCAACCTTCCTTCGCTACAAATTTGGTTTAAATTTGAATACGAAAGTGAAAAGCAATCACACTCCTTACAAGACTATTTTATCTGTGTATAGCAATTTCAACCAACAATGCATAAAGCTTAGATTTAAATTCGAAAAAACAAATAACATGACAGCTAAATAATTGTGAGGAGACTATTTCTTAACCCTGCAATTATCGCGGTTTATAAAAATACGTAAGTGGTCGCGTGAATTACATATGTAGTCCGATTTAAAATAAGAAGAAAGCCATAAAATATCGACTTTAATAAATACTCTATTTTAAATAATATAGTCAACGGTTAAACATATTAAATAAACATTTATACCTCCTTTTTTATTCAAATAATAATAATGAAAAAAACTTTTACATATTAATATATAAAAATGACACCTTAATTTCAAAGTTAGATCACAAATTAGTTTAGATATTTATTTGTGATATAACTTTTGTTTCTAAACAAGAGGAACATATGTACTTTTATGATGTAGACAAATGAATTTGCGACATGCAGTGCACGATCGGTGCGTACTTTTATTGTGCGATCTTCCGCAGTCTTAGCGGCGACCTACTCTATTAGTTTGCAATTATGCTGAAGTAGACAAGGAATATCGGTTTCAGAAATATCTAAAAATCTTTAATTTTGAATGCCAGACTTCATGATAATGAGTTTTCTTTTAATCTTTCATCCATTTCAAGGAGAGGGAAATAAAGAGAGTAGCGGCGAATTATCTTTGAAAATTTTTTTGTTTGCAGTGTATAATAATAATTTGACCGCTAGTGTACCCTCTATTCGTTGGTACATTCTTCGACAAGTGAGTTACCAATTAAAAAATAAATAATAAATAAATGCAAGTGCACATGCTGCACTGAGCATATCCTCCTATTATTCAACATTGAATATTTGATGTATCAAAAGATTTATTCAAGTGACTTTTCTGAAATTTCATATTATTTAAAATTAGATTAATATTATATTCCACCCGATCACTGTAGCGTTAATTTTTAGATTTTTCCAAAATTGCTATGTAATATGATTGCGGATCGATATCGATATTTTTTTTATTACTCATTGAAGAGGCATAAAATTAATTTAATCACTTAACTAAAGAAGAATATTATTGTGTAGAGTCTATTATCTATACAAATAAATAAAATTGAAGTGTCTGTTTGTAATCTAAAAATTACAGCTTTTTACTAAATGCATGTGAAAATATATACAGTACTAATAACAAAAATACAATTTTTAAAGTTTTTGTCTGTGTGTCTGTCTGTCTGTTTGTTCCGGCTAATCTCCGAAACGGCTGGACCAATTTTGACGGGATTTTCACTGGCAGATAGCTGATGTCACAAGAAGTAACTTAGGCTACTTTTATTTTAGAAAAACCATAGGATTCCGCGCAAAAAAATTAAAACCCCAAATAACACGCGGGCGAAGTCGCGGGGAACAGCTATTATAATAAAAGTGTAAATGAACAATGTCTGTCCTCAGATAAAATAAATTCAACGAAAAAAATCGGACTATCGATATGTCTGTGTTAAAACTTCCTTTAATTATTGTATTTAAAATATGTTCAATTATTTTGTTTGTTAATTAATTAATGTCGCGACTTCGTCCACATGGATTTAGCTTTTTAATTCTCGCGAACATTTTGATCCGATTGATTTATATATATATATATATATATATATATATATATATATTGTTGCGCGCCACTATTAATGTCTTGTACATGGCAACACTAGTTACACTAGTGCCCTCTAGTGTCGAGTAAATGAAAATATTGCGCGCCACTATTAATGTCTTGTACATGGCAACACTAGTTACACTAGCGCCCTCTAGTGTCGAGTAGCAGAACTAGGAGAGTCAAGATCCTTCCAGAAATTTCGGGACCGATATGTACTCGAACATTCTAGATGTCGCTACAGTAGAAGATTCTGGAAACTATCTGAGGCCCTATATAAGGCCGGTATAGACCACGACCGAGGCGGTATTGAATTGGCGATACAAGAGAATACTTCGAAGCGAAATAACGGCGAACTGTGTTTTATTATTAGTGTGATTTTAGATTGTAATTAGTGTTGTGTAATTAAAGTGTCAATTTTGGTAATTCAATCGGCAGTTTTTAATTGTCTCGAACCCCAAGTGCGTAACAATTGGTGTCAGAAGTGGGATCAAATATGCCGATTTTACCTAAAGACGACACCGAGGGTATCCGTACCCGAAGTCAACGCCAACAGGAGACGGACCAGAGACGATATGGTGGTGCAACGTCACAGACGTCGGCAGGCCAGTTGCCGACCACGGAGGCCGGCCCGTCAGCAGCTCCTGCATCTGCAGCACCTGACTTAGGTACTCTGATGATGATGCTGCAGGAACAGGCTCGCCGACAGGAGGAACAGGCCCGCCGACAGGAGGAACAAGCCCGCCGACAGGAGGAACAGGCTTGGCGGTTGGAAGAGCAGCTGCAGCGCGGACAGGAGGAACAGGCCCGCCAACATGAGGAACAGGGCCGTCGGTTGGAAGAGCAGCTTAAACGCGATAAGGAAGAGCAGATACTTCTCATGAAGGACCTTCACGATACCTTCGGGAAAGAAATAAGTGAGGTGAAGGATAAGGTTGCTCAATATGACAACCGCCTGTCGGAAGCTGAAACCCGAATCGACCAAGTGTAAAATCGGGTTGACAATGTGATGGCTGACGTGAAGAAAACACTGAACGACCTCAAAATTGGGGATGGAGTTACAGCTCCCGTGGTAGCTACGACACCTCCGCTACGTGGATTCAAAGTGCCACCGTTCGGCGGGACTTCTTCCTGGTCGGCCTACAAAATCCAGTTCGAGGCTGTCATGAAAGCGAACGGCTGGAATAAAAGTCAGGCCATGACTGCTCTCACCCTAGGCCTGCGCGATCAGGCCTTAACTGTTCTGGAAGCTCTCGGTAAGGAAGTGACTTACGAGCAGCTCCTTGAGGCATTGGAGGCGAGATATGGTGATGCTCACCTGGAACACGTCTTTCGTGCGAAGCTCAAAGATCGCGTGCAACGCAGTAACGAAAACCTGCAGCAGTGGGCCCTTGAGGTGGAGAAGCTGGTTCGAAAAGCGTACCAGTCTGTACCTGCGCTTATTGTAGGGAACCTGGTGCAGACATTCATCGACGGCATCCGCGACCTTGAAGTCAGAGCTGCTGTGAGGCTCGGGCACCACGAGACGCTTAAGGACGCCTTGACCCATGCACTGGAGGTGGAAGCCGTGCGGCAGGATCATCGTTCCCACCGCGTCAGGGAGGTTGCAGCAGCTACAGTTCAGGACCGCAATAAAAGCTACAGCCCTAGGTGCTACGGCTGTGGAGAAAGGGGTCATCTTCGATCCAGCTGCCCTAAGCGAACTATAGAAAGGGAAGGTGATCGATCTCGAGAGGGTAGTGCGGCTAACAGCACCGCCCAGCAGCAGCAGGGAAACTGGCGGGTGCTGGCTGATGTTAAAAAAGCCCCAAGGATTTCGATCTCACAAACCCATGATGGGAACAGCCTGATCATCAAGGGCGAAGTCAACGGAACGCCGTGTAAACTGACCATAGACACTGGAGCCTCTCGCACGGTTGTCAGTTCCCAACTTATAAGTCGGTTCCTTGGGGACTCCGCATACAACCGAGAACGCATTAATTTGGTGACAGCCACTGGTCAGCGCATACCCGTCCGTGGAGAGAAGGAGATGGAGTTGAAGCTAGGCAACATGATCTACCTGCATAATGTCATCGTGGCTGCTATAATGGACGACTGCATCCTGGGCCTAGACTTTATGAGGAAGAATTGTTGTGAGATCGACGTTAAGCAAGGTGTTTTGAAATGTGGACAAGAGGAACTTTTCATGGAAGGGGCGTTACCAGGGAATGTGTACAGCCTTAAGAAGATTGTTCTTCCGCCGAGATCGGAAACGATT